AGTACCTGCTAAACATGTTTTGTCATTGAGGTCTACAATAGATCCCAGTGGCTTCTTTTCATTGTCATAATCTTCTTTTGAACCAACCATCCGGGTGTATGCTTAGTACCAGATAGCTGAAGTAGAATGGCCATCTGCCCTTATGCCTGGCACGATTGTTGTTTCAGAAAATCGTGCATCCGCTCCAAGCCCGTTATCTGAATTGCGATATCAGCCAGGAGGACAGCATGAACTCAACTCTCAGCTCAACGAGCGTAAACTCCCCGGTATATTGAAGCCAGAGTATATTTTCATTAGGAAATATGATTCAGCCGTTCGCTCATTCCGTGGTTTCATCGTTCAGGCTCCGAACTTTGGAACCCCTCGAAGGAACACGAAAAGGCTGACGACTGCCGAACAGAGAGCTTTGGACCTGAAGCGTTTGAAGGAGCGGCAACAACAGTTTCACGAGGTAGAATGATTTACAGGATATAATTGTGGGCTATTGTGTAATATGGAAATTGCTCTCTTCAGGAGGAAATGGCTCTTGGTGGGTACCACGACGTGTTCAACGACCCTTGTCCCGAGTTCAAACCCCGAAAGTTTGCATATGAGTCTACGTCCGAGGATGACTCACAAGTGGTAGAGCTTGATAATGCAGCGTCAGGTTTGTTCCTGATTTTTTTCTTTTATGATGATATCTACTGTTGTAAGGTCATCTTCAGATTCTCAAGATAACCTGCTAGACAATACTCTGAGAGAAGGCGATGGAAATGTTGCGACGTCATCGCAAGGGGCGGATTGGGCAAGGTTGTTCTACCCCACAGAGTTTGGCCAATCACACTTTTGCACCACTGCGGAAGATTGACGTATCTATTGTGAAGTGCTCTGAGAGTGTCTCTAATAATGTAAGTTCTGAGTTGTTGAGATTTCCGGGTTAGCGAATTCTAGTTCAACTACCATTTGAAAAGCTTAACTCAGGGTAAAATGCTTCAAGGTTCAATAAGAAGTGAGAGGCAAAATTTATTTTCAGAGGTTAGATGCTGCTGTAGGTGAAATGGCTACAAGTACGCCAGTTGTTGATGCTGTTGAGCAAACCGGGACTGTTATACGCAAGGCTATCGCATGTGAGTACTTCTTATAGGTTGGAGCTTTGAGATCTGAATAGGTAATTCTTGTGGGATCAAAACTAGCTCGTAGGACAGGGGAAGTTGCGCAGGACGTTTGGGAACTTTGAAGAGTAACCCCTTAGGTCGATGTCAGAACTTTTGAGAATCGCGGCGATTGTCGCGTAGGTCTGGTGCGTGCGCGGTCCGAAGTGAATCATCACATTCGGCTGGTACCCGACGCGACCGCCCCCCGGAAAAATAAACCAACTTTTAGCGAATTCGCGCGTATACCGTCTATAATTCGATTCGCGTGATTCGCAAAGATCTGTCCTAGCCTTAATGATAAATTAGCTGTTATGGAGACAGTTCATCAATCCGATCAGGTGTCATTGGGAAGATATAGTTGAATAGAGCCTGGTGCTGTGATCACCAACGTGACAAGTGATTGCTGCAATCCTGCTGGAGCCCTCGGCTTTAGCAAGAAGATTTGCCTATCCCTAGCGTATTTTAGCCTTGGATTTCTAGTCCTTGTTATCTTGCCTGCTAAAAATGTACGACCTCAATACACATAAAATATATTAAAGTCCTAATCCATACCATATCATCGTTTGAATTTTGTATTCCTTCCTCTTCATTCATTCCATTCATTCATTCATCTTTTTCGTGAACTTCTCAATAGAAGTGTACCTTATTTGACACCTTTAGCAGCACCGTTATACCTACGACGGGTAATCGCCGTTGCATTCCAGCTAAACCACGCACATCGAGCACGGCAGCTACCGCTGGACAAAACGATTCCATGGAAGATGTACTATCGAAAATGCAGAAAACACCGAAGCGTGTCTCTTCAAACGTAAAGAGGTCCATCGTGAGCGTGAAAAGCAAGAAAAGCATAGCCACTGATGTTCTTCAGGAGTGAGTAGTTGCCACACCCTGTTAGAATCGAATCATAGTTTGTAGTTTGGCTTACGAATTCGAATGTGGAACACATAGCTATTGATTCTTGCGATCGCAGCGACGCGTGTTCGTTCCACATTCGAAGGCCGTGTTCGTTGTCACGACTCTGGAGATTAGGATAGTACGCGACAATGAAAAGATATGTATTGACGGGGAGATTAGGATAGTAGTAGATTAGGATAGTAGGAGAGTAGGATAGTGCGCTGACAAGATTAGATATGTATTGATCGATTCGCTTGAAGTCGCCCAATCTACTACTCTCCAGCGATTTCAATCGATACGTATCCAATCTTGTCAGCGCAATCTCCTACTCTACTACTATCCTAATATCCTGTCGCCTACTATTCTAGTCGTCTGAGTCGCGAACTGTGAAGGCGGCCGAACTGCAAAGTGTGATGCGACCCATATTATTGAACTATTGGGGTTTTTATTCCTCATACATGAAGCATGTTATGAATTTTCAATGTCATTCGTTCTTCTTAAGGGAGCCAAATTCTGCCAGGACAAGTACGGCGTCTGGAACAGCAGCCAATGGCACATACTCTGTTGAAAAAGCAAATGGGACATATGTCGCTCAGAAAGATGGTACCTATGTGGTGGAACCGGCTGTTCCAAGCGACAATACGTCTCAAGCGCAACAGAATGCTACATTTACTCTCGAGCAGAATGCTACATTCACTGTTGAACAACCGGCAGAGATCCAAACTTCTGCTCGCAAGAGCGGCCCAGTTTCTAGCTCAAAAGCAGCCAGTTCTGCTGAACCAATGTTCGCAGTGCCGGCACTCCCGGTGCGAAATACAAAAACAACAGCAAAGACCACCGTCGAGCAGAGAGAAAAGCGGATTGTAAGAAAATTACCTTCAGACTGCTAGTCCTTTTTTTCATTTATTGAGGTGTTTTTAGAATACCTCTCAGAAGAAAAACGCTTCTATCTTGGAAATGATGGACGTGGATGTGTCATCACCTGGAAGAACTTTGTTTGCAGCTCTACCCTCTAAAAAGGTAGCTCTTGTTACCTAATTAAAGTGTAGAATGTTTAACTCATATGTAAAATTCAGCAGCGGACGTTAGTAAAAACACCTGTGAGGATGAAAGCCCCCGCAAATGAAGGTATTGTTGCTTTGGTTTGATCTGTTCCTTTTTGTTCTCGTTACCTGGTGACGTATCAGATTTTTCTTGACTGAATCGATGGCGGCAACCAAGTGCAAAACAAGTACTCATGTTTATCTTATTCTGTTTTTTTTTGTGTTTAAATTTCTCTTTATTGATATTTGTTTGCTGTCAGTGGCAATTAGCAGATGCCCTTCATTCAAAGAGTGCCTTCTGCTATGACAAATACTTTTTACATCTTCATCTACCCCTTTTTTTCTAATTTTCCCACGATTGAGAACAATATACGAATGCGTAGGGGGTTTCTGAGTAAGTCGTCCGAGGTGCAACTTATACCCATTTCTTCAGCATGGATAGATGCTCGGGTGCCAGTTATGAGAGCAAGGGCACTTCCAAAGAGCTCTCGCGCTGTCCTTTCGTCCCTTTTGCCTTCTTGAGCGAAAAATCCGAGCATCTCCATGTTTGGCTACAGATTCGGTCACTGCTAACATGAATTTTGCTGGAATTCCGCGCCCTAGACCTTCTGTATCATTGAAAGTGAACTCTCGCGCCTGCATAGTGGACTTCTTGTATCTGTACCCTGATGGAGCGACGCGATCCTCGGCAGACGATTGCGACGCGGTGGACAAGCGATGGAGCGATCGCCTCCATCGCGTGGCAATCGCCGAGTCCTTAAAGTTGAAGAAGATTTAACAACGGTGCTCAAGGGTTCCGAATCCTTTCGAAAACTGAAATTATATACGCGGGCTCAAGAATATGATAGAATAGGATTTCCGCTTTTCTCTGTTATCAGTTATTACCACTTCCAAAATGAAAGATTTCGTGAGGACTTTCACAAGTCTATATTCTATTAGTTCTTTTTTTTTACACATTTCGTATCTTTTGTGGGACTGAACAGTGCAATTAAGATGCTATGGAAATATCTATTACAATGTCCGATATAAGTCAACAGCCATCAGTTGAGTCCGGTGATGACTCTGTCGTTGATCCGGTATCAGATCCAAGGCCATCCCAATCAACTCCAACTCGTGCTCCTGGTTTCAGCCGTCGCGTTCGAAATACAGTACGTTTACGGGATTTCCCGTTTTGCTGTGAGATATGTGAAGGTTTTTAGCCGGACGTTTCATTGAATTCCTCTTCGCAAATGTCACCTGCCAATCCGAAGAGCGGGCAGACTCCCTTCGCAGGCTTGAGTCCAAAGAGTAGAAGAGCTGCGTTGAAGGTATGTCTTTCCGAAAAATTTGAATTTAGCTTCATTTTTCTGACTCCCAATTATTTCCAGGAAAGCGTTGAACGTTTGTCACGTCCCCGCATCTCTGAAGGCGGTACTTGTCACAGGGAATGGAAGAGGCAGGTGAGCTCTGAAAAACAAAAGTGGTTGTGTAAGTCAGAAATTTTGGAAACGTTTCCAATGAACTAGTTCTCTTCCAGGAAGGAAAGGAAGTTATGCGAAAATTGCTACACTCTCCCATGGTTGGATTTGCACGAGATTACGGTTTGCCCGCCCCAGTGACGCCGTTCCAGCCACTCGGTCAGATTTAGAGGCCTTTATTATAGATATCACTGATTGAAATTTTTTATCTGAAGACTCTACTCGCATGACAATTGCTAATGCCGATCGCAGTGGGACGGTCCGTCGTGGACCCACAACTAGATTGCGACTGGACGGAACTTCCCTCTTCCCTGAGGTTCTTTTGTATCAATTTCTGTTTCTATGTCAAGTGTTATCGTTTCCTCACTCAGGAGAGCTCCGGTGTCAAGCACACCAATCTTCTCAAGCGCTTCGGTGATTATAAACCTCAACAGAAAGAGCCTCCAAGAGCTTCACCAGAATCCATTGATGCGAACACTAACGAGGAGCAACGGGTGATGGAGAACGCTGCTGTAAACGCCTCCGCTGGCGATCACACACCTGAGCCATCCACGATTCCTGATGCTGCGACTCAGCCACAGTCGGCTGGGGATTCAGTTATGTCATCCATCGTGAGTTTCAGGGAAATTAGCCTCATTGCTTCAAAAAAGAATTTAAGAGTCGAGAAATCTGATAAAAATTTCTGTTGCTTCCAGTCTCCTCGAATTCCCGCCGGAAGAAATGCCGTCTCTACGACTTCTCTCGTGCGTTGACGAATCCACAATTTTTCCTAATGTTGTAGGATTTTGCCACGATCTATGTGTTTCTTACAGGATGCCATACCGGATGAATACGAGAAGACGCTCATGGATGCTGCTCGGCAACTGAGTTTGGAAGGTGGATCACTGGAATTGATCTCATTTTTCACTAGAGGCCGTTGAACAGTTTGAATTCTTCACATAATCGAAATTTGTGAAATAAGCCCTTGCGCACCATCCCTATGCGGTCCACTAGCAAGCTTGAATTGAGTTCTCTGCAATGATGTTTAGATATATCACCAGCAAGAATGGATCAAGAACCCGTTCAAAGTGCTGCCAGTGAAGCAGTGACGAGAAAGGCAAGAACCTCAGAGTTAGTTACATTTTTTTAGTTATCACGTGGGTCAAAATAGGTACTGACACAAGGGCTGCTGGCTGTATAGTCATGCTGTTTCGACAATTACGCCTATCGGGGCCCCTCCTGAGCCTTGCGAGCGTCCGTATCACGAATTCTCGGCGCATCAGCAAACGACGTGATGGTCTTTCAAGCAGTGTCGTCAGGAATGTTAAGCGGTTTTGTTTTTTGTTTTTTAGAACCAGAACGGACGCGTTGTTGCGAGACCTAAGGACCTAAGCGAGTCTACAATTCGTGCGCATCTAAAAAAATGGCGAAAATCCAACCCGGTCGAAATTAGTAGCTCGGGGGGTTTAAGCGTTGACTCTCGACACTTGACACGCTTTCGTCGAAACCGGGAATGCAAATGCATGACATCTGACCCTCGGAGCTTACGAAGTTATACGATTGATGTCTGTCTGTTTTTGCGATAATTCTATATCGATTGTATACATTATTTACTTTCCAGAGGACTCCACAGTCACTGCAGATCCTGATCTCATCGAGGTCGAGGGAGAAAGGAATCGACGAAAACTTGAGCCAATGGTTTTGAAAGCCACGTAAAATTGGTCAGTACGTGATCCTTTTTATCTATCCCAAAGAAGAGGCCAGGAATTTCCTTATCGTTTGATTATTTGTTCATCACCTGCAGTACACCATGTTCAGTTCATCCGGAGCCTCCACCCGATCCGAATATCCGTCGATCAACGCGTAATCGAATGAAGCCTGTTCGACAGTGGCTAGGTGAAAAGCCAGTATATGCAGTGTCGCCTGGAGGTGGGTCGTAGAACATAATCTTGGCACCTTCCATTATTACTTTTCTCTCGTTATTTCATCTGTGATCCTTCTTCCTCTCTACTACTTTGCATCTTCTTTACATTTTCTTTCTGAATATTCCTAACTACTTTGATTTTTTTTTCATCACATGAATGGACGTATGTTCAGTTCTTCTGCTGGTCAGGTTACCAGAGCTACGCGATGATTCAAGCCTACACTTCGGCTTATGCTTACTTAGGCTTAATCTTGCTACGTGCAAATGAGTGGTGTTGTAATCTGAGGTAACCTGACCTGGCGAGGAGATCTGATACATGTACACCTTTACAAATGCTGTATCAAGAGAAGTTCACAAAGATAAATTCGGGTGTGATAATGTGCTTGCAGGTGGAAGAACACTGCAAGGAGTGACTGAGGTTGAAATACGCGAGCAGCGTTGGCTGAAGGTCCGAACGGCGGACTACGATTTGGCTAGTCAGAGGGAAACGCAGATTGCCGGTGAGTGTAGTGATACCGTTACCTTTTTTCTGTCCTTCAGCTTATTGAGGTGCCAAAATGTAGGTTCTTAGCGTGGTTACTATGTGAGTACTTCGTTTTGCAGCTCGTAAACGTGCCCTCCGCGAAAAGCGTAGGCAGGAAGCGCGTGAACGCAAACAGCAACGTCTTCGAGATCTACGAAAGCGTCATAGGAGAGGAATAGATCTTGAGATAACTGCGGATTCGATCGTTACAAGTAGCGATGAGGAAGACTCTGATTAAATCTTTCCATACAATGATTTTATTTCTACTGATTAACGTATTTCATTGAATGACCTCATGCTACTTACTCTTATGCTTTCGTCTTATGAACAGTATATTAGCGAAATTACGTTGTAAATGAATAAAATGTCATTTGTTCACATCTACGGAAATTGTTTCCCTATCCGGTGTGACATTTTTAACCGACATAGGAAGTGAACCGCGAGGCTGAGAGCTCCTAGCAAGTATGAGATAATAATCAATTTTGGTTGTAAAGTGCTGTTTTAGCCGCAGGTAACCCATACAAAGGATTTCACAACAATGCTGGGTTATTGTTAACGGCGGTTTTCAACAACTTCC